CATGCTTAAAAAAAACGTTTATATCAAACAAACGCGTTTATTTAAATATCGGGGTCTTTGCCATACGTTAATTATTTTTTGAGATACATTAAAGTAGACGTTTTTACTTTTTTTCCGAGAGCAATAAAATAAAACAACACTTAATTTGACAAGTATTTAATTTAATTGGTATATTACTAGCCTATTACTCAACGATATCGAAAAAACGACACATTTCATACTATAAGTATTTTTTTCGCATTATTTCATGGAGCGCTGCGGCAACTTGACTTTTCAACGGTCCTCGCGTGACTGTGAACCTAGAAGTGATTGAGTGGTGTTCAAGCACTTCTTGATTGGGACACATTTTGAGCGAACGTGGTGTAGCTAGGATATTTAATATCGTTGCTATTACTACTGAACTGACCCGTCGAACTTCGTGCCGCGTAACAGTCGATGAATGTGGTTATCTTTAAATTCTTAAGTGATAAAACAAATACAAAAAAAGACAATAGTTTTTCAACGATATTAGATACTGAGAAAAACTTATTTAACGAATATAAAATCCGTCTTCACATAAACAAAACCACTAATTATTAAGAAATAAGACATTTTCTTTACTTACCTAAGTCTAAATAAAGTACTTCAAAGTCTAAATATTTGGTGTCGGTGCCATGCCAACCAAAATAGTAAATGGAAACTCATATCTATTAGACTTTTTATCCGCCTAATTAGATCGCCTACAACTGCATCGAGTAGCATTAGAAGTACCGCGTACAAAAAGTCCCCCGAACAACCGGACTCGCCAAAAATACATGGGTGTTACCGAAAAAAATAGATCTCATTGTGAATAGGCGCAGCAAAGCTTTAGGTGCAAAAAAACTAGATCTCACCATCTCTCCGTCTGCTGCCTGCCCCCCTAGCATGAGCACCGCGATATGATATATAACATGTTTTTAACACGCTCAATTGTCAAATTACTATAGAGTTTGACAGTTAGACGCGATAAAAAACGTGATATAATTTAAATTGTAGTGCTCATGCTACGGGGGCTGGTCCGCGTGGAATTTTTTCTAGTAATATTTTCTTTATATTTAAACATCTAGCAGTTTAATGCTTAAAAAAAATATTTACCTATATATAACTGTATTTTTTATATCGTGAAAAAAAAATGTTTAAACATACATTACTCAAAATTAATAAGGATGTTTGCGTTATGGATTAATGCTTAAGAGTTTGAATTAGAGTTATTCTTTAACCTACCACACATTTTTGATTGAATATTACCTGGTTCGTTTTTTAGCTTTCAACAATTGGCAACACCCACGAAGTACGGGAAAATTCTCGGATTCTCCATTCGGTTTACGTTTGTTTGAAGGATGAATACAGTTAACAGAGCGGCAAAGCGCATATGAAGAATGATATTTTTTTAAAGCAATGTGTGTGAAATCAAATTTTGTATCCGATATGAAATACATTTATTCTTCAAAAAAAAAAGTTTTCTTGAAATAAAACATATTTATAAATAAACAACGGTCCTAAGTTTTTTTCATGTTTTTCAACATCGCAATTTTATTTTAAATTTCACTAAGTCATTTCTTTTTTTCATTTTTCATCAGTAAGCAAGTTTAGTCTGCGTTATGCGCTCTGTCCGATTTAAAAGGATAGATCCAGTATTACATTTTAAAACGTCTTCTCTTTTTCTTAAACTACATGTTAATTATATACGCAATCTGAGAATATTTACTTCTTTAGCGTGCGCTTCTCTAAATGTCCGAGCAACAAATAAATAATAAATAAATAAATATTTCCAACACTTACACCAATTCGCCTAGCCCCAAAGTAAGCACTGTAGGCTTGTGATGATGGGATACTAGGGCAACGGATAGAATACATGTACTGATACATAAATAAGTATATTTATATCAAAATACATATTAAACATCCATGACTGGAGTACAAATGCTCGTATTCGTCACACAAACATCTGCCCCCACCGGGATTCGAACCCGGGACCTCTCGAGTAGGCGACACCTTGAAACCCGGCGTACAAACCCCTCGACCACGGAGATCGTCAAATGATCGCACAGCGTGTGCGTAGAGTCCGTGACAAGTCCTCGGCGGCTATTTTTTAAAAATTTAACTATAAAAAAATCCACCCTGTCCAGGCAGCAGACGGAACTCGAACCCGCATCCTCCGCTATCTACGCACTGACCAATTATCTTACCGCGACCTTAATGACCGTGTCAAATTACATCTAGCATTTATTAGGTCATGTCTTCACATTTTGTTCGCATGTTTTTAAGTAAAAAATTCTAAAGATTTAAGCATCTAGCAGTTAATAGCTTAAAATAAAAAAAATAAAGTTATTTTTTATTTATTTAATAGTGTGAAAAGCGCCTAAGGGGCTATTGTTTCATCGTGTCAAACGCAGCGGCGGTGACATCGAGCCTGTTGAGTTTAATTGCCTCATGTACAGACTAATTTAGTGGAACAATCAAGATCACGGCGCGGTGCTGCGCACAACTGTGAAAGATGCTGGAGCTTCAGCGATCAGGCCAATTAGTTCCCGTCAATGTTGATCGAGATATAGTTTACCAGTTTAAATTATTATTCTAAAATCAAATTCAGCGCAGTTGATACTCTACACTCACGAGCCTTTAATGAATAGATCCGGATCAAGTGCAGTCTGTCTACGGATTTGGACCTTTAAGTGGAGATACAATAAACAAAAATATATAAAAATCGGAAATTATCTGTGAAATTCCATAAACCAAAATATAAATAACTGACACCTCAGGGACCCATAGTAGGTAAATTGGGCCAAAATTTGGCCAAATCGGTTTTTTTCCATTTTACTCCGTTAAAAATTGCAGAACTATTGAATACGGATAGATTTGTAAAAATCCGGTCAAAAAAAATTAAATTAAATATAAAAAACCCATTAATATAGCGTTTTTTTTTAAACGCTCATATCTACGTTATAACAAAATTTACTATCTTTTTCAATTAGTTACGTTATAACTAATTGAAAAAGATAGTTTAGAAAAGAAATTTATATAAACTGTTTGCCAAAACCGATATTTTCGAAAAAGATCTATTTTATCTCTATGGCTCATGCACGCTTTCATAATTCAAGTCAATATTGGGCTTAAAATTTTTTTTTGAAAGTTTGTAACAACACTTATTTAATGCGCACCTTTTTAATTGATCTTAAATGTGCGAAGAATTGGTTGATAAATCGGATTTTTTCTTTTTGTTAGCAAATAAATAAAATACGTGTATACAACAAACTCGGTTAATTTAAGGGCTGAAATTTACAGTTTGTAGTTCAATACTTGTATTTTACATAAAAAATACCACAATGACATATTCGCTCCCTATTATTTGGAAATTTAATGGCAAGCGGAGCACACACATCTGTAAAACGGTATGCTCTTATCATACGTACCGTATCATAGTCCCAACTGCACATAGAGCCTTAATACGATTTTGTATCTTGAACGTTATCCAGTAGTAGTTATATTTTTCATTTTATAAATAAATTAACAGTTATTCAATGCTAGCAGCATTGAAAAATCGGGGGTTTTTCAACAAATAAATACCTTGTTTTTGTTGTAAAACTGATTTTTCGCATATTCGATAATATAAGAAAGATCAAATAAAAGTGTTAGTACAACATTTCAAGAAAATTTTAAGCTCAATATCGACTCGAAATATCAATGCATAGATGAGGTAAAAATGATTTTCTCGCAAATATCGATTTTGGGAAACATAATAATATTTTGAAATATTTTAAAAACTATATTTTTTGATAAATCACGAAGATATCAACTTTGGGCCTGATTTACTAAGGGCCCCCGAGGTGCCAGTTATTTGTATTTTAGTTTAATAAATTCTACGGAAAAATTCCGATTATTTACATAGGACCAAAAGTAGGCAGTTGCACTAGGTACCCACATTAGAGATATCAGTCGATTTCAATATACATTCTCATGATTACACTCATACTTCTTTGTTTGCTGCTTAGTCACTTCAGATACGTTAATTCACAGATACTTATAAAATTTAGCAGTACGAACTTTATTTGAGCTCCTTCAATGTTCGTTTTTCCGTAATCGTAGTCGATAAAAATTTATCCAATTAATAGGTTTTTTTTTCTCATATTAATTGTACACGGTTCGAGATTCAAGTTAAAAACTTCGACGAAAGAACTGTCTCATTAGCTGAACAAACATCTTGAAACTTTTTTAATTGCCCTGTATACGAACACCTATTTAGAAAACGGACTTATATAAATAAATAAACTTAAACAAATTTTAAGTGTTTGAGAAAAGGAAAAAATGCTTACGAAATATTGCACTTAATAAAATTCAACTCCACCAGGGTACCATAACAGGCAACATTTATCAGTCTCAGCTATGAGAGTATCAATTTTGATACTAGGACCTTAGCAGGCGAATGTTGTATGAATCTGAAATAGGTATTTAAAACTAGCTGACCCGGAAACCATATTTTTTCCTACCTACATTTTCGAAATTCTAAGAAAAACTAATTCATGAAATACTGGTTAAACTATTTAATTTCACTTTAATTATTTATGCTTTATGTCGATGTTTTGTCAATATATTGAAGATCTCTCAAGCTTTTGCCTCATTCAATCAAACACTTCTCATATTATGAGGTTAAAAAAATGATTTTTTTTTTCTTATATATGTATATACAACCTCGTCCTGACAATAATGGACACGAAGAGAGACATTGTCTAATTTGGTGCCGTGCAATCTGTCAAAATTCATTTTCGGACATACTTATCGACGCTTATATTTTATTTTTAGATGTGTCAGTTCACTGATATTTAGGTTAAGGAAAACATCACGGTTGCAGTAGAAAACTTTTTACAATGTTACAACAAATTTGCGTTGTCTTGCAGAGTAGGTTACGTACGGACCGCAAGTCATGTCAGGTAGTTAGCGGGGGACTGATATTTAGGTTAAGGGGTTAAGGAAAACATCACGGTTGCAGTAGAAAACTTTTTACAATGTTACAACAAATTTCCGTTGTCTTGCAGAGTAGGTTGCGTACGGACCGCAAGTCATGTCAGGTGGTTAGCGGGGGAGGGGAGAAGTCGTGGCGGTGGTAGCGCAAGTACAGGCTTGTTTCGTTGTTGCAAGACATTTTCTTGACAAGGGACCTGTGGACGTTTAGTTATTATTTAATACATGCAGAACTCAACATAGTTACGCTAACGATCGGCTCTTGCGAAAGTTTCATAACTGCCACTAGTCCATTCAATGCACAGCAAAAAACACGAAATTCTGGCAATTCTGCCGAACAGCCCCAATTTACACTAACATTTTTAAATTTTTCTTACTTTAATGTTGTCAATGTGCTGAGGGTTGTTAATACCCTGGGGGTGCACGCCTCCCCTTCGTGGGGATGAACAAGATTTAAATTAAAAATAAGAATGGGAATGCATAGATTGATTAATTGTAAGCAACTTTTGTCCTATATAGTTTTTACTGATAGGCAATATTTTTCAACTTATTCGAGAGTGGATACGTAAATTTTTCAACAAGAAAATCCATGTTTTCATACTGTTTTTCATGAACAACTCTGTAAATAAGTTTTTATTGACAAAACTAATTTGGAATCAACTGTAGCTTATGAAAAACAAACAAAATACTGGGATTTAAGTATCGCTAGATGAATACCTACTAACGGGGTAATAGCTTGTTAAAGGTGGGTTCTTCTTCGTCAAACGCCAAAACCAAAAGTTTCGACGTGAAATATCCAAATAACAATGCATTTTTCGCGGAAAACTCATTAAACTTTTTACACATGTGTGTATCATAATGTATGAAAAGATGAAGGAATCCCCTTTATCAGTGCTGTAATATACACTTCTGGACACATCTATTGGCCCGCCTTAGAGTTTAGGTTTCGATGGCCCCTACCGAAATATGATTGCTAGATTGAACAAAAACTGTTGATGCAGTTTTAAACCTGATACATTTTACCATCTTTTTCGATCGTATTGTTTTAAATTTGAATTCAGAATACCATACGACATGGAGCTACGCCTAACAAGTCGGATATGCGCCTTGTTAAAGGCAATTGATTTTTGAATAAAAAACATGTTTTATCAAATAAAGGTTTAATTTAATAACGCGTGTTGCCTCCATGGGCATCTACCACAGCTCTCATACGATTAGGCATAGAGTTTATTAACCGCTCTATGAAATTTTGAGGGATCATCTCCCATTCCTTTTCTATGGCAGTTTTCAACTCCTGCATCGTCTGGGCAACTGGCTGACGAGCCCTAACACGTCTTTTTAGCTCGTCCCACATGTGCTCAATGGGGTTCATGTCTGGGCTTCTGGCTGGCCAGTCCATAACTGTGATGTTCACATCCCGAAGATATTCCCTGACGATGCCGGCCGCATGGGCTCTTGCATTATCATGCATAAAAAGGAAATTTGGGCCCACATAGTCCGCGTATGGATGGTATCACGTGAGGTTCTAATCACTCATGAATGTACCTTTCAGCATTTAATGTTGGCAGCCTTGGTCCTGTAACAACCTCAAGTTGAGTTTTGCCGCTTACGGATATACCGCCCCAGACAGTCCATGAGCCACCGCCATAAGCAACCCTCTCTTCAAAGCAGCATTGTGCGAAACGCTCTCCCTTACGTCGGTAGACCTTCTTCCTTCCATCATTGCCATGTAACACAATAGGCTAGTTGACCCTTTTTGGAAAAATGTTATAAATTGTTAATAAATGTTCTATTAGACCGAAAAAAAATGTATTGTATTTTTTTGAGACCTAGAAAGCTACAAATCTTTAATTTTAAAATAGACTTTTCATGGACATACAAAAACGCTGTCGGCCATTTTAGTCTATAGATTATCTATGCTATGACGTCGACGGTAGTAAACAAAAACTCGTAAGCACGTAGAAAATAACCTATCTGAGTTTATAATAAAAAAGAAAACATGATTTCTAATAAATACCACGAAAAATATAGTAATAATCATTATTGTATTGTACGAGAATGTAAAAACACATCCTTGAAGACTCCAGGAAAGATGTGGATTAAAGTGCCGAAATAAATTAACCTACGCTGGTTAGAACTTGCTAAAAGTGATCCTGCAACTTTATCGACTCATAGTAAAATTTATTTTTGCGAAGATCACTTTGATGTAAGTACTCATTGAATAATATTTTAAGTCTCTTCATTTATTATCAATTTTAATAATTCAAGTTTTAAAGTTATGTATGAATGACATTTAGTTGTTTACTAAAAGAGACGCCACAATCATGGCGGATGTGGCGAACAGCGTTTTTAGTGTTTAAAAAGTATAGACTAGAAATTATTTTCTTAAATTAAATTTCTACAGCAATCTTCTGCTTTTATGAAGTGAAATCGATATATTTAGGTTCCTTAGACCAAAAACTTTAAGAAATAAACATTTATTTAATACAATTCGACATGAGTCAACTAGCCTATTTTAGACTCATCAGAAAAGAGTACACGGCTCCAATCTTGCTGTGTCCAATTTAAATGACTGCGTGCGAAATGAAGGCGCGCTGTTCGGTGGGCTCGCGTTAGTTTGGGCCCATTAGCTGGCTTGTGTGGTACCATATCGCGTTCTTTTAACCTTCTCCGAACAGTTCGAGCGCTCACAGATACTCCGTGGAAGTCGCGAATTTGTTTTTGTATCTCAATGGAGGTAAGGTGACGATTTCTCAAGCTGGTCGTCACGATGAATCGATCCTGCCTTTCAGTTGTGACCCGAGATCGTGGCCTTCCTTGGCGACGAACAAAGCCGCCAGTCTCTAGGTACCTCCGATAAACATTTCGGACCGCAGATCGACTTAAATTAAGTTGAGCACTCACGTTTCTTTGGCTGTGTCCGGCCTGAATAAGTGCCACAGCTTGGGCGGCGACTTCAGGTGAAGTATCCATAGATTATTGATAGAACCTCACCTTAATGTTAAGAATAAGTAATGTTTGTTGCAAAACCAAAGATATCAATCACTTTTTCAAGAATTAAATCCAAGTAAACCAATAAAACCAAGTTTTCTTAGTATTCGATTGTTTGATATCAACAAACAGGCTCCAAATTGTCTTTTGTTTCTTTAAATTCTGTGTTCGAAATTCAAAAAAAGACTATTGAATGAAATTGTGAATGTGCCAGGTTCAAAACTGCATAAAAACTTTTTGCTCGACCTAATATAAAATTTTAGCTAGGACCAAACGAAACTGAAAATACAAGGTGGGCCAATAGATGTGTCCAGAAGTGTATGTGTATTGATACCTGAATAAAAATGGGTTTGGTTACTTGGTAGAATTGCTAGGGAAACCGTGCATTGACTGGACTACACGATCCGAATGCAGACCGAACGCGAAGACCACTTGTGCCATCGAGCTCCTCGAGAGAATATAGATAAGTGTATTTAATGAAAATGAATTATACTAATATTATAAATGTTCAAGTTTGTGTGGATGTTTGTTACTCATTCACGCTGAAACAACTCAACAGATTTTGGATGAAATCCTACTTCCTATCATATGCGAAAATGTATGCATGTTTGTTACTCTTCCGCGCTAAAAGGACTGAACAGATTTGGATGAAATTTGGAATATACATATATAGTTTATCACGTAGATTGATAAATAGGATACACTTTTTATTACGGAATAATTTTAGGTTCTGTGGGATTCTCAAAAACTAACTTAAATTTATGTATTGCGGACGCAAGCTAGTTGATAACTTAATATTAATAAACTTATATTTTTTATATCAAGACATGTACAGTATTTAAGTTAACTTACAAGTCACTCCCTACACCAACGGCGCCCAGCCACCCGAACAACGATCTGGGATTTAACCAGTACTTCGTATGTCGAGAAGCCCCATGATGTATCATCATCAGCCTTTAATGTCCCTACTGCGGGGGCACAGGTCTTCCCTATGAATGGAATAGGCCGACTGGGCCATGAGCCACCACGCTGACCCAGCGCGGTTAGGTGGGTGCTCACGACTGCAGATGCAGTCGGGACCAATGGCTTAACATGCCTTCCAAAGCATGGAAGAGTTCGAGATACTAAATTTTTGGTCACCCATCCATTGACTGACCACTGATAAAGTTGCTTACGAACACGTTTACCTCTTCCACCATTGAGCTCCACGATGTATGCTAAAATTGTAGGATTAAGGTTAAGAAATAATCGCTTCTTAACATGAACCTCTTTATCCACCGGATAGTGGCAGCGAGCACGAGGGATACGTGCAGCGTGATGCGCGTGACGATGGCCGCCATCACCACCAGGTTGGCTAGCACGAAGCACGTGAGCACCAGCAATTCCTTCAGCGCCTCGCCCAGGCTGTTCTCCGTCCACGCGTAACCGCGGAACGGGCAGTACCTTCCAACAGAGCAGCCTTTTTAACCCCCGACGTCAGAGACGAATTCAATGCAGGGCAGGCGGAGATATAGCCCGGGCCCAAAAAAACTAAAATAAAATACTCGCGTAAAAAAGGACTCGCGCACACACGGCCATTTTCGCTCGAACCTGGAGCTCTATTTTTGAATCACTCGTCTGACATAGTATCGTCGAATGCGACATAAGTCACCTTCGACTTACAAGTCGCATGATACTGATTTTTCGTATTTTTGAATCATTCGTCACCGGTATTACCTGTTTATAACGAAATGTAAAATTTTACTCATTTCACGCAGAAAAAATAAAAACCGGTAATTACCGCAATGAAAACCGAACAATAAATTCTCGTTATCGTTTCATATAAAGCAAGACAATGATAGATCATCGTCGTCTAACAGCACAAAAAATTGACAATTATTCTATCATTCGCCTCCACCATTCGCCATGCAGCGAGTGCTCTCAGCCATCCGTCGCACTCGAGCGATTCAAAAATATCGAATTAATTATGTCGAATGAAATTTAGTCGAAATCGAGCGTTCGACGCAAGACGAGTGATTCAAAAATAGAGCTCCTGTAGTAGTGTTTCTCGCGACTCGCGCTTACAAGCGCGTCAATGCTCGTACGAATTGCGCGTGTGTCAAATTTGCGTCTATACGCGCCATCATGCGCTTCCAAAAACGAGCTGATACGCGTATAAAACGCTGGTCTGTAACCGCCCTTATTTGTCAGCCGACATTGTTGTCATGGTTCTCAGCTATAACTTATGAAGATCTGTTCAGGGGTTTGAAAAGAATCATTTCGTATTTAAATCTTTTTGGGTGTTTTTTTTAGTTTCTAACTTGACATACACGAACGTCAGTTCGTCAGTTCTCATCTTCACGGCGTACGCCGTGCGGGTACCATTAGGCAACTTAGTGTTATTCTACTTAGGTCTTCTGTAAGTCAAGAGGTTATTTCCTAGATGGAAGCGGGACTAAAGTTGCACCGTACCGTACCTTCTTTAAAAGTTTTCTGAGTCTAAGGACGTCACGTTTTATCAATTCCATCAATCAATTTCCTTTACAACATAGAATTTTCGGTGCAAGTAACTGAAAAATACGGTAGTACTGGTAGTACGTGCGTACGTACGAAGAAAGCAAGATAATGTTGCATAACACATAACTAGAAAATTACATTTAACAAAAAAAGGTGAATTTAAAAAATCAAAAAACCCGACTGCTTAATTCTACTTCAAATAAAACTGAAAAGAAAAAAACAAGTCCAGTAGTCTATAATTCTGTTAATAAGGAACAAAGCTACTTTAACAGTCGGGACCCATTAGATATTCAAGAATACATAATATTTTTCAATAATGGGTCCCGACTGTTAAAGTAGCTTATTAATAACAGAATTATAGTCTACTGGACTTGTTTTTTTCTTTTCAGTTTTATTTGAAGTATAATTAAGCAGTCGGGTTTTTTGTTTTTTTTAAATTCACCTTTTTTATTTCACACTTTTTAGTTAATTAGTATTTTAAGATGGTATATACCGAAGCCTCGTTACTTCAGTAAGGGAATTAATATCGCGGGAATTATTAAGTACCTTGCGGTGGTCTAAAAGATTGATTTATTAAGACATATAGAGACTTTACCAGCGGGGTCAAGGCTACAGATGGGCCTCAAATTTCGCAAAAATGTGTGAAGTTAAATCAAATCGTTACACAAATATCTAATGTATGTAAATTTTATAGTAAACTAGCACTTATTCAAAAAGTCATCATTTGTTTATGTTCTTTTTAGTAGTTTAGCAGTAAATATAAAATTCATTTACTTTCATTCGTCAACTATTTAAAAAGTGGCTGCATTGTCATGTCAACGTCCGGCTCTAAGATTGTGATATACACAAATGTAGTGTCATATCCTAGTCTCATAATTTGATTTATACATAATTCACAGAAACCCAATATGTAGAAGCCAGAAGTTAACTTCAAATGTTGTTAATCAACCTATATAGAATACCAGTCAATGACGTTAATGTCGCAGCTTGAAGAAAGCAGTAATTTCCGTCTGTTGTTTCGGACAATGGTGGCAACTGCCTTAGACGCGAGTGTTCTGAGGAGCTATTCTCGCTTATCCCTCCATCACCTTTTCTTCAGAGGACCACGCGCGCTGGTCTACGTTGCCACCGACTTACTGTGGCCACTATTCCTACACGAACAAAGAAATTTGGCAACTCATTTCTTTGTCGTACTATTCGTAAGTGGAATTCTTTGCCCGCGCACGTGTTCCCTCCTTCCTATAATCTGGGGTCGTTTAAGAGAGGCGTGAAGAAGCATTTTTGCGGGCCGGCAAGGTGAGGGTGGTTGGTGTAGCAGTTTATTACTGGTGTACCAGCTATCTTCGCGTTTGGACTTTATCACCACTTAACATCAGGCGGGGTAGAGTCATTTGCCTACCTAATTATAAAAAAAAAAAACAAAAAAGACGCTACATTTAATAATTATGCAATCACCAAAGCAAAGTTTATAATATTTAATTAAACTAAAGGCGCATAATAAAATTTTCATAACGTTAGGTAGAGCACCATAGCAATCTCATTTATTATCAATTTATAGTTCTCTTTGTAGTTTTCTTTTAAAGCGTTCACATATAACAGGTCGAAGACTTTGTGATCGACCCTTTTTTATTGGTAGTGTAAAGCTCGAATGAAGAGTACTTCCACCTATCAAGCGTGCTGCTACCAGCCTAGTAGGTATTGCAAATAGTGCAATCATGGCAATTATTTTCCAAATATTTTTTTTGTATAAAAAAAATACCGAATAACGTATCACTGTTAAGCACAAATGCTAAGTAACTTTTAAAAATATAATCAAATAAACCTATTACTTACTTTGTTTTTAAATCTTTTTCATCAATTAAATACTATTATCCTAACTATCTATACTAATATTATAAAGAGGCAAGATTTGTATGTTTGTTACAAATAATCTGTCAAACTACTGAACCGGTTTCAAATATTAATTCATCATAAGGTAGCTACATTATTTATCATTACATTTTTCTTTATTTAAATACATTTTGTCCGAGTGCAGTGTTGCCAACTACTAGCATTGCCCAGTTACTAAACATCTTACAAAATGTTGCTAGATAGTCAGTTTTTATTACGCCAAAAAATGGTTGCCTGTAAAGTCGGTTTTACGGGCGAAGATTTTACGTGACAACGTCTTTTTCTCGGTAGAATATTTATTGATATGAATATAATTAAATTGCACAATAGGAACAAGGAATTGAATGAAAATAAGAATTGCACAAATTTTAACTATAGAAATATATTTTGTTTACTAAAACATTGTACATGTAAACTTAAACTTAACACGAGAGACTCATCGTAACGTTACCGAGCGTTACACTTTTTCATAAGTGACTCCCAGCCGCAACCTAATTTAAGACGTTGTCACGTCAAAAGTTGCTAGAAGTAGCTAAAAGTTACACTAGGTAAAAAGGATACTACATTACAAGAAGGGATGTCGACACTGACCGTAGACGCAAAAAAATGCGTTTGAGACCTTTATTTTGATAAGAAAAACTTGTAAACTAAAATTATCATACTAATTTTTCCCGTCGAAAAAGTCTGCTTGAACTCTACTTTCTGTCTAAGTTTTTTTGTCCTGACATGTTTCTTTATGTCAAATAGTCAAGCCAGAATTTCCGTAGAACAATTAGCACAAAACGCTTTGCTTGAGTCTGTACTTGCTGCTTTTAACGAACCTGTCTGTATTTCTGAGGTTGTTTTTTTTCTCAAGGGTAATCCATCTTCACATCAAATTAAAACAGCGAGCATTAGTTTTATATGGATAAAACAAAAAAACACTGGGTCCAATACGTACGTACGAGTGGTGCGTACTCATTTTGGTTTAGTAAATAAGTACCCACGTTCTGTCATAGCGCATTCTGTCGTAGCGCAATATTTAAATGGGGAATTCCCAGCCAAGGACGACCTATACCATAGTATCCTTAATCTATGACCATAGAGCCGCGTTCAGTTTTTATTTTTTCGTTAAAGATTTGGTATTATATGAATCTCTCATGAAATAAAAAGTTGCTAGAAAAAATAGCTAAAAAGTTTAGCTACAAAATTTATTAAATTGTAGCTGTGTGACACCAAATAATAGCTAGATCTAGCTATAAAGTTGCTAAGTTGGCATCAATGTCCGAGTGACAAAGGCTATATTTTATCCCGATAAAATAAATTTTGCCCGATATTATAGATGCGAAAGTGAGTTTTTTTGTTGCGCTTCCGTGCCCTAGTAGCTAAATCGATTATAATGAATTTCCCTATAGAAGTAGATGGGAACTTGGTTCTTAGCTACAACATCGCAATACTTATAGGCGTAAGGTGATGAAAGGAGTGATTCACCTATAAAAATCTATATTATTTACTTTGAATTTTGCAGAAGTATCGTTTATAATTACAAAACCAATATTATAGCGAGCTGATTAATAAATAAAGGAATTCCAATAAGTATGCACCTACTAGCGAAATATGGGTTATTTGTCATTACATTAAGTAAACCGTTTTTGAAACATTAAGTAATTAAAAAAAATCAGTTAATTCTGAGCTTTTCTTTAAAATTAAATAATCATAAATAACTATTATGATAATTTATTTTTCATCTTTTAATAAGAAGGAACTGTATCACAGTTTTATTGTAAGTACTTTGTATAGGATCAGATTCTGCGAGTAGCCCATTTTTTTCTTTTTCGCCTAGGTTTTATCCACGTTTATAAACACCTAAATTAAATTCCTTCTCTTAGGCCCGTATTATAGAAAGATTCTCAGTGATTGATCTAGACTTGAGCATAGTTAGAAAGGGATGTCGCTATATCCGATATCCCTTTCTAACTGTACTCAAGTAAAGATTAACACTTAGTTGTCATTCTGTAATACGGACCTTAGTACACCGCGCTATCACTTTATCATCGTTGTAACTTCTTAAATATTTGTCGAAATGACATAGTGTAAAATGCAAAGTTTATCGTCTTTAAATATCAAACAAGATCAAAGATCCATACAAACGTAAGATTGAAATTAAAAACGCAAGTGGTTAATATACAACTTTAAAACCTTGTAGATCCTAAAAAATCATATAAAATGAAAAATGGTGTTAGAAACCTAAACATGATTTTCGATTATCTAGACACTGATACCCCACTCGACACAATATGGCGCCCAATTTTGCCCATATTCAATTTTGATTACTATCATATCATTTAGTAGCACTCCCATGATTGAGACGAATCGATTGATGTATGAATCATCAAAATCGGTCCAAGCGTTTGGTCTCTAGTGTGCCACAAAGGAACAAACATACATATATAGACTGTTAAACACTATACCCTGACTGCGCGTCGCGCTTCGCGCTCTTGGATTGCGCAGTCGGGTAATAATTCTGCCCATATTCAATTTTGATTACTATCATACCTTTAGTAGCACTCCCATGATTGAGACGAATCGATTGATGTATGAATCATCAAAATCGGTCCAGGCGTTTGGTCTCTAGTGTGCCACAAAGGAACAAACATACATATATAGACTGTTAAACACTATACCCTGTCTGCGCGTCGCGCTTCGCGCACTTGCATTGCGCAGTCGGGTAAAAAGAAAACAAACAAAGAGGATTATGAAATCTTTTGTTCAACATTTGATCAATAGAGGATGAAATTGTGTGAGGAGAGCTTCTTATTTAAACCACGCAGATGAAGTCGCTGGCATCCGCTTGTAAGCCATGCCCTGCCAGAATATCAGCGCTAGTACGACTCAAAGTCGAATGAGCTTATGCTGAGACAGGGTCCTGGTTAGCCCTTAGATGTAATATTTCATACCTTATATTACCAACTACATCTGTTTAAAGGGCTCTTAAAACGTTTTTCTTTCTTTCTTTCTTATTCTCATTAATTAACTCGCCCCATCGAATAAAACCCGCATAAGTGCGCGTTGGACTCGCCCACCGAGGGTTCCGTACAAGCATAAACGGCCATATCTTTTATTTCGTTAACTTAGAAGTTGAACTCTTTCACAGCTTTATGGGACCGCAAAAATGATTAACTGGTTTGAATTTCAACTCGATACTTTGAGTTTCTCAGATATTTCTGTCTGTCTTGGAAGACAGACAGATAAAAGGCAGTTTCTTTTTATTACGTTAATGTAGGAGTTCGATATTTTTACAGCTTCAAGAGATTGTAAACTTGAGTATACGGTTTTTCAACTTGATACATTGACGCTTTCCTGAGATAAAAAAAGTAGGCACAATTTTGAATCCCATCAGATGCCTGGACCGCGTGAAATTGTTAGATTTTTTTTCTTTATAATTATAAAGTTAAATGCGTAAAAGAAAATTATAATAACCTTAAATTGTATCCAGCACACTTTTCATAAAAGTGCTCTATAGCTCTAACGGCGAAGCTTCTCTTGGCAGGGCGCGCGGGCTTAAAATACCCACTGTCCTTCTGCGTGAGGATCATCAAGCGGCCATCCATAGGGCTCACGGGGAACCCCGGCCCCACTAGCTTGCACCTGCATTTCTCCAACCGATACCCTGAACACTTGCAGGGCATTTTTCAATGGCTAATTAATCCAGTCATTATTTTGTAGCCCTTTTCGATTCTCTGTCTACAGACCGGATAATCTGCAGAAGGATAAACAGATTTATACAAATTTTATGTATTTATTTCAAAAGAGTAACTGTCACATCTGTCATACTACCTCCAAACGATACAGTCTTATAGAGGATACAGTGGATAATTTCTCTATGCTAAATTAATGCTACATAACTACTACAGGTGGTTTTCCAATTACAGAGCATAATGCGACTCAGTGGCGCACAATTCCGAATTATGCTGATGCTTAATTGGAACGTGAATTAGTTTTCAAATGTACCAGCAGAGTGCGCTAAGTTCAGTGTTGAAAAAAAAAGTCAATGTTTGTACCTTCATCCATATTTATATTTAATTTTTTAACACAGTTTGAATTAACTTTGATTATTTAAAAAAAAACTATAATGAAACGAATGTTTTAATAGTTTTTCAACAATAAATAATATTACTAACGATAACATATTAATAAAACATTTCGATCAATGCCAACTTAAAGAAAAAATACTTGTTAATTTTCTGTCTCTGAGTTGGTACGATTGCACGCATCACACGAAAGCATTACTTTTGAGAGTGATCGATTGTGCGAAGCGTTGCTGTAGTTGAAACACTCAACGTTAAACATTATGCCGCATAATGCGCTATAATGCTGTAGTTGGAAAGCTACCACAACCACACAACACACTTCCACTACCAACAACTACAAAATGCCGAAGAGGAAATAGCTTAACCTCAGAATAAATTAATCTAAGATCTTCAGATTAAATTATTTTTCTTATTATTGTAATAAACAACACGGCCTTAATACCATAGTTGTATTGATATTTTTTTTCCAAAACAGAATAGAAATAAGACGAATACATCAATTCAAACACAGTAGGTACTGGCACAAAGACATAGAAGTTCTGAGACATTTCCAAGGCTTGTTAAATTTTTAATGATCTGTGTCATGATGACATGATGAGAATGTGTAAAAAATATATTTTTCTAAATACATATACAATTTAATGTAACTAACAAAACAAAATAAAAAAATGAATTATTTGTGTTTAGAGTAATGGTGTACTTAAGACTCGGTTGATATGATAAGAGGTAACTAGCATACTTATAAAAAATCCTTATGGCTGAGTTGGTATTGCAAAAACAAAAATATATTACTATTCATTTTATTCCTCTTCCATTTTCATAAGAAAACATAGGCATATTACATAATAAGCTTAAAGATTACCATTTTAGTTAAATAATGTTAATGAACAACCTTAACAACCCATACTAATGCAATGACAACACAACAGACTGTATTACATTACAATGATCACAATCATGTTATACATTACAAGTTATTTCACTCGTTTATTGCTATTTAAATAGGGATTAAGGAACAATCCGTAACTAAACCAATTCAGGCCAAAACATTATTCTTTATATTACATATTTTTCTGGCTAGGCATGTTTAAAATTAGTTTCTAGCTGTTAGTGAGTTTCAATACAGTGATTTATTCCTTCTACACGTATATTTAATTGCTTACAACAAACTCATTTCTTTAAGAATTTCATGTACTGGCAGTATAAAAGTGGATACCAGATGAATGTTATACATAATCGTTTAATTATATATTTCAGTTTCCTCATATCGACGACTACATGAACTACCTGAATAAAAAATATTTGCGCTTGATATGTGACTAACTAGCAAGAAAATACGATGGCAAACGATAGAGTGGCACACTGTGACAACAGCACCACCTTCCTCGATATGAAAAACAAATTACTTTCGCAGTGTCATGCTTCGGATCTTCAAATACTTTACGTTAACAAAAAAATATTGTATACTCGTAGTAAATCTTCAAACTATCGCAGTAAGAATGGTTTTTGCAATGACGTTGAAACCGCAAATATTCTCACATATGAAGAGAAATCAGGAAAACGTAACGTGGGCAAAAAATATAAAATTATCAAATACGCAACGAAGAAACGGCTGTACCACTCCCCGTCCTCTAAGCTGGCAGTGTTCAAATACTACAGCATACCTGTTATTACCTCAAAAAGAGCTTATAAAATGAAAACTACGAGTAAAGGTTTAGAAATCATTCGGAAGCATAAGTATAAACCTTTCTACACCAATTATATAGTCAACACAGTATCGCCTTACGTTGGAAATGATCCCTCAAACCAGTACTGGTATCCAATACCGAGAAAGTGGGAAGTTTACAGATGCCAATTTGGCGCTCAAGAAGAAAGTTGTTGCTGCTCCTGCAACTCCGATGCAATGTTTGAAGTAATGAAAAGTTTATACGACTGTTATAAGAAAAAAAAATGTGATAATTGCAACTGTATACTTTGTGGTCATTTGCCAAAGGACGAAAGACGACACGGTGAAATTAGAAAATCAGCAATTGCATTGGAAACAGCCAGTACCAAGGTAAGGAAGAAAGAAATTGAGAGGAAGACCAAAGAAGCTGTACAAAAGATGGAAGGAAAATCCCCTGCAGAAAAAGAAAAGATTTTGAAAGACTTAGCAATGAGTGGAGTTCCGTTGCCAGAAGCCAAAACACCATCAGAAAAAGAAATCATTCAAAAATTAAAAACACAACTTGGATTGCCTCCAGAGCCCAAGACAGCAGCAGAAACAGAGAAAATGAAGAAAGCTGAAGCTGCTGGTATCATAGTGCCATTAGAAGGAAAAACCACTGCTGAAAAAGAAAAAATTCTTAAAAAGCAAGCTGAATTGGGTATCGAGCTTCCTGAAGGAAGAACACCCTCAGAAAAATCTTTAATAGCAAAAGTGAAAGCAACTTCAGGAAAAAAGAGATTATCGGAAAAGAGACGAGAAGCTAAAGCTGCAGGATTATTAACGCCACTTGAGGGGAAAACTCCTGAGCAGAAGGAAACAATTCTTAAGGGATTAGCAATGTCTGGACTTCCTCTACCTGAAGCAAAAACACCATCCGAAAAAAAATTACTCAAAAAAGTTAGAGCAGACGTTGGTTTGCCCCCAGAGCCAAAAACCGCAGCAGAAATAGATAAATACAATAAAGGTGTAGCAGCTGGGATTATAACTCCATTAGAAGGTAAGTCTCCAGAAGAAAAAGAAAAAATACTTAAGGCGCAGCGTGCTGCCGGGATACCACTGCCAGAAGGACGAACACCATCAGAAAAAGCAATAATAGCTAAAGCGAAAGCAATGTCTAAGCCATCTATTGCTGCGTTAGGAACTCTGATCGAAGGCAAAACTCCTGAAGAAAAAGAGAAAAATATCAAAAGATTGTTAGTAAAAGGTCAACCACTTCCAGAAGCGAAAACAACATCCGAGAAAAAACTTGTAGAAAAAGCTAGAGCTGAATTAGGATTGCCTCCAGAGCCAAAATCGCTATCAGAAAAGAAAAAATATGATAAAGCAGTAGCTGCGGGCATTATAACGCCACTCGAAGGGAAATCTCCTGCGGAAAAAGAAAAGATATTACGAGCTATTCAGACAATGGGAATCCCTCTACCTGAAGGAAGAACGCCTTCAGAAAATGCATTAATAGAGAAAGTAAAAGCGATACCTAAGCTTCCCATACCATCCGGAATATCTGTACCTGCCGAAAAGTTAAAAAAAGCCAAAGCAGCAGGACTACTTACACCTTTGGAAGGAAAAACACCTGCAGAAAAAGAAAAAATTCTAAAAGGTTTAGCTATGCATGGCTTGTTACCTGAAGGAAAGACTGCTTCGGACAAAAAAATAGTAGACAAAGTAAGAGCTGATTTAGGATTGCCGCCTGAGCCAAAATCACCATCTGAAAAGAAAAGATACCAAAAAGCTGTGTCAGCGGGCATAATAACTCCACTTGAAGGGAAATCTCCAGCAGAAAAGGAAAAGATTTTACGAGCTAATCAAGCAATGGGGATCCCTCTGCCCGAAGGAAGAACACCATCTGAAAAAGCACTTATAGAAAAAGTGAAAGCAGCACCTAAACTCCCTATACCTTCTGGTATATCTTTGCCAGCCGAAAAGTTAAAGAAAGCCAAAGCTGCAGGACTACTCACACCACTAGAAGGAAAAACACCTGAACAAAAAGAGAAGATATTAAAAGGTCTCGCAATGCATGGCATATTTCCTGAAGGCAAAACTGCTTCAGAGAAAAAAATAGTGGACAAAATCCGAGCTGAAGTTGGTCTCCCACCTGAACCAAAAACTCCGTCTACAAAGGAAAAATATAAAAAAGCTTTGGCTGCTGGCATCATAACACCATTAGAAGGTAAAACTCCAGCTCAAAAGGAGAAAATATTGAAAGGACTACAGGAAGCCGGTTTGCCATTACCTGAAGGACGAACACCATCAGAAAAGGCAATGGTAGCCAAGTTCAAAGGTCCCACCACTCCGTCAGCTACTTTTACTCGTATACCTACTGAAAAACTTAAGAAAGCTGCCACCGCCGGCTTGGGCGCACTGCTTGAAGATAAAACCCCTGAACAGAAGGAAAAGCTTGTAAAGGGATTATTAGTAAAGGGCCAGCCACTTCCAGAAGCAAAAACAGCCTCAGAGAAAAAACTCGTTGAAAAAATAAGAGCTGACTTAGGATTACCTCCCGAACCAAAGTCGTCATCAGAAAAGAAGAAATACGAAAAGGCTCTTGCAGCTGGCATAATAACTCCACTTGAAGGAAAATCCCCAGCAGAAAAAGAAAAGATTTTACGAGCTAATCAAGCTATGGGAATTCCTCTGCCCGAAGGACGAACGCCATCAGAAAAAGCACTAATAGAGAAAGTGAAAGCAACGCCTAAGCTTCCTATACCATCCGGAATATCAATACCTGCCGAAAAGTTAAAAAAAGCTAAAGCTGCAGGACTACTTACACCGCTGGAAGGAAAGACACCTGAACAAAAAGAGAAGATATTAAAAGGACTAGCGATGCATGGCATACTGCCGGAAGGCAAGACTCCGTCAGAGAAGAAGTTAGTGGACAAAGTGAGAGCTGACTTGGGATTGCCACCAGAACCGAAAACACCCTCAGAAAAGAAAAAATATGCAAAAGCTCTAGCAGCGGGAATAATAACACCACTCGAAGGCAAATCCCCGGCGGAAAAAGAAAAGATATTACGAGCTAAGCAAGCAATGGGAATACCTTTACCCGAAGGTAGAACACCATCTGAAAAGGCTTTAATAGCCAAAGTGAAAGCGGCACCTAAATTACCTTTACCGTCTGAATTATCTATACCTTCTGAGAAACTCAAAAAGGCTAAAGCTGCCGGGCTTTTAACACCGTTAGAAGGAAAAACGCCTGAGCAAAAAGAGAAGATACTAAGAGGACTTGCCATGCATGGTATTTTACCTGAAGGCAAAACCGCGTCAGAGAAAAAACTAGTTGACAAAATCCGTGCTGAAGTTGGTCTCCCACCTGAACCAAAAACTCCATCTACAAAGGAAAAATATAAAAAAGCTTTGGCTGCTGGTATCATAACACCATTGGAAGGCAAAACTCCAGCTCAAAAAGAGAAAATATTAAAAGGACTACAGGAAGCCGGTTTGCCATTACCTGAAGGACGAACACCATCAGAAAAGGCAATGGTAGCCAAATTTAAAGGTCCCACTACTCCGTCTGCTACTTTTACTCGTATACCTACTGAAAAACTTAAGAAAGCTGCCACCGCCGGCTTGGGCGCTCTGCTTGAAAATAAAACCCCTGAGCAGAAGGAAAAACTTGTGAAGGGATTATTAGTAAAGGGCCAGCCACTTCCAGAAGCAAAAACAGCCTCAGAGAAAAAACTCGTTGAAAAAGTAAGAGCTGACTTAGGATTACCTCCCGAACCAAAGTCGCCATCAGAAAAGAAAAAATACGAAAAGGCTCTTGCAGCTGGCATAATAACTCCACTTGAAGGAAAATCTCCAGCAGAAAAAGAAAAGATTTTAAGAGCTAATCAAGCTATGGGAATTCCTCTGCCCGAAGGACGAACGCCATCAGAAAAAGCACTAATAGAGAAAGTGAAAGCAACGCCTAAGCTTCCTATACCATCCGGAATATCTATACCTGCCGAAAAGTTAAAAAAAGCTAAAGCTGCAGGACTTCTTACTCCGCTAGAAGGAAAAACACCCGAACAAAAAGAGAAGATATTAAAAGGACTAGCGATGCATGGCATACTGCCGGAAGGCAAGACTACGTCAGAGAAGAAGTTAGTGGACAAAGTGAGAGCTGACTTGGGATTGCCACCAGAACCGAAAACACCCTCAGAAAAGAAAAAATACGCAAAAGCTCTAGCAGCGGGAATAATAACACCACTCGAAGGCAAATCCCCGGCGGAAAAAGAAAAGATATTACGAGCTAAGCAAGCAATGGGAATACCTTTACCCGAAGGTAGAACTCCTTCTGAAAAGGCTTTAATAGCCAAAGTGAAGGCGACACCTAAATTACCTTTACCGTCCGAAGTATCTATACCTTCAGAAAAACTCAAGAAGGCTAAAGCTGCCGGACTTTTAACACCATTAGAAGGGAAAACACCTGAGCAGAAAGAGAAGATACTTAGAGGACTGGCCATGCATGGTATACTACCTGAAGGCAAAACTGTGTCTGAGAAGAAGCTTGTGGACAAAGTCAGAGCTGAGGTTGGTCTCCCACCTAAACCAAAAACTCCGTCTACTAAGGAGAAATATAAAAAAGCTTTAGCTGCTGGTATGATAACACCATTGGAAGGCAAAACTCCAGCTCAAAAAGAGAAAATATTAAAAAGACTACAGGAAGCCGGTTTGCCATTACCTGAAGGACGAACACCATCAGAAAAGGCAATGGTAGCTAAATTTAAAGGTCCCACTACTCCGTCTGCTACTTTTACTCGTATACCTACTGAAAAACTTAAGAAAGCTGCCACCGCCGGCTTGGGCGCTCTGCTTGAAGATAAAACCCCTGAGCAGAAGGAAAAACTTGTGAAAGGATTATTAGTAAAGGGCCAGCCACTTCCAGAAGCAAAAACAGCCTCAGAGAAAAAACTCGTCGAAAAAGTAAGAGCTGGCTTAGGACTACCTCCCGAACCAAAGTCGCCATCAGAAAAGAAAAAATACGAAAAGGCTCTTGCAGCTGGCATAATAACTCCACTTGAAGGAAAATCTCCAGCAGAAAAAGAAAAGATTTTAAGAGCTAATCAAGCTATGGGAATTCTTCTGCCCGAAGGACGAACACCATCAGAAAAAGCACTAATCGAGAAAGTGACAGCATCACCTAAGCTTCCTATACCATCTGGAATATCTATACCTGCCGAAAAGTTAAAAAAAGCTAAAGCTGCAGGACTTCTTACTCCGCTAGAAGGAAAAACACCCGAACAAAAAGAGAAGATATTAAAAGGACTAGCGATGCATGGCATACTGCCGGAAGGAAAGACTCCGTCAGAGAAGAAGTTAGTGGACAAAGTGAGAGCTGACTTGGGATTGCCACCAGAACCGAAAACACCCTCAGAAAAGAAAAAATACGCAAAAGCTCTAGCAGCGGGAATAATAACACCACTCGAAGGCAAATCCCCGGCGGAAAAAGAAAAGATATTACGAGCTAAGCAAGCAATGGGAATACCTTTACCCGAAGGTAGAACTCCTTCTGAAAAGGCTTTAATAGCCAAAGTGAAGGCGACACCTAAATTACCTTTACCGTCCGAAGTATCTATACCTTCAGAAAAACTCAAGAAGGCTAAAGCTGCCGGACTTTTAACACCATTAGAAGGGAAAACACCTGAGCAGAAAGAGAAGATACTTAGAGGACTGGCCATGCATGGTATATTACCTGAAGGCAAAACTGCGTCAGAGAAAAAACTAGTGGACAAAATCCGAGCTGAAGTTGGTCTCCCACCTGAACCGAAAACGCCATCTACTAAGGAGAAATACAAAAAGGCTTTGGCTGCTGGTATCATAACACCGTTGGAAGGTAAGACTCCAGCTCAAAAAGAGAAAATATTGAAAGGCTTATATGAATCAGGATTACCTTTACCTAAAGGACGAACACCTTCAGAAAAAGCAATTATAGCCAAATTAGAAGAAGCCCCTCCAAGAATTCCATCAGATAAGCTTAGAAAAGCTGCGGCAGCTGGCTTGATTACTCCTCTAGAAGGCAAGGCTCCAGAAGAAAAAGAAAAAATTATCAGGGGCTTAGCAATGCAGGGCCTCCCCTTACCGGAAGGAAGAACGCCATCCGAAAAGAAACTAGTGGAGAAAGTACGAGCAGATTTAGGTCTTCCTCCAGAACCAAAAACAGCATCAGAAAAAAAGAAATATGATAAAGCTATAGCTGATGGAGCTATCGTACCACTTGAAGGCAAAACACACGCAGAAAAAGAAAAGATTTTAAAAGCTCAATTTGATGCTGGCTTACCTTTACCAGAAGGACGCACACCTTCTGAAAAATCATTAATCAGAAAGATACAAACTACTGTCGGTGCTCCAATAGCTACTCCTTCCGAAAAACTGGCTAAAGCAAAAGCTGCTGGATTGATAACTCCACTAGAAGGAAAAACACCAGAACAAAAAGAAAAAATACTTAAAGGACTGGCAATGCATGGAATTCCTATGCCTGAAGGAAAGACCACTTCAGAAAAGAAGCTCATCGATAAGGTCCGCGCAGATATTGGATTGCCACCTGAACCAAAAACAGCATCACAGAAAGATAAATACAATACAGCTTTAGCTGCTGGAATTGTTACTCCTTTAGAAGGAAAGACATCATCCCAGAAGGAAAAAATCTTAAAGGCTCAGCATGATGCTGGATTACCATTACCGGAGGGACGTACTCCATCAGAAAAAGCATTAATTGCCAAAGTTAAGGCCTCTCCGAGAGGTATTGGTGAAGGTGCTTTAGCAACACCATCTGAAAAACTTAAAAAGGCCAAAGCGGCTGGGTTAATTACACCATTAGAGGGAAAAACTCCAACACAAAAAGAAAAGATACTCAAGGGTTTAGCGATGCATGGAGTTCCATTACCCGATGGAAAAACGCCTTCCGAGAAAAAGCTTATAGAAAAAGTTCGTGCAGATGTTGGTCTACCACCTGAACCAAAGACAGCATCACAGAAAGATAAATACAGTAAAGCTTTGGCAGCTGGAATTATTACTCCACTAGAAGGAAAAACATCAGATCAGAAAGAAAAAATTTTGAAGGCGCAACACGATGCTGGATTGCCTTTACCGGAAGGACGCACGCCGTCGGAAAAAGCATTGATTGCCAAAGTTAAGGCCTCTCCTAGAGGTATTGGTGAAGGTGCTTTAGCAACACCATCTGAAAAACTTAAAAAGGCCAAAGCGGCTGGGTTAATTACACCATTAGAGGGAAAAACTCCAACACAAAAAGAAAAGATACTCAAGGGTTTAGCGATGCATGGAGTTCCATTACCCGAAGGAAAAACGCCTTCCGAGAAAAAGCTTATAGAGAAAGTTCGTGCAGATGTTGGTCTACCACCTGAACCAAAGACAGCATCACAGAAAGATAAATACAGTAAAGCTTTAGCTGCTGGAATTCTTACTCCACTAGAAGGAAAGACATCAGATCAGAAAGAAAAAATTTTGAAGGCGCAACACGATGCTGGATTGCCTTTACCGGAAGGACGCACGCCGTCGGAAAAAGCATTGATTGCCAAAGTTAAGGCCTCTCCTAGAGGTATTGGTGAAGGTGCTTTAGCAACACCATCTGAAAAATTAAAAAAGGCCAAAGCGGCTGGGTTCATAACACCGTTAGAGGGAAAAACTCCAGAACAGAAAGAAAAGATACTCAAGGGTTTAGCGATGCATGGAGTTCCATTACCCGAAGGAAAAACTCCTTCAGAGAAAAAGCTAATAGAGAAAGTTCGTGCAGATGTTGGACTACCACCTGAACCAAAGACAGCATCACAGAAAGATAAATACAGTAAAGCTTTAGCTGCTGGAATTATTATTCCACTAGAAGGAAAGACATCAGATCAGAAAGAAAAAATCTTAAAGGCTCAACACGATGCTGGATTGCCTTTGCCAGAAGGACGTACTCCATCAGAAAAAGCATTGATTGCCAAAGTGAAGGCGTCTCCAAAAGGTATTGCTGAAGGTTCTTTGGCAACGCCATCTGAAAAGTTAAAGAAGGCCAAAGCGGCTGGGCTATTGACACCGTTAGAAGGAAAAACTCCAGAACAAAAAGAAAAAATATTAAAAGGGTTAGCGATGCATGGGGTTCCATTGCCAGAAGGAAAAACACCTTCTGAAAAGAAACTCATCGATAAGGTTCGTGCAGATGTAGGTCTTCCACCTGAACCAAAGACAGCATCACAGAAAGATAAATACAGTAAAGCTTTGGCTGCTGGAATTATTACCCCACTAGAAGGAAAAACATCAGAGCAGAAAGAAAAAATATTGAAGGCGCAATACGACGCTGGATTACCTCTACCGGAAGGACGCACACCGTCGGAAAAAGCATTGATTGCCAAAGTCAAGGCCTCCCCTAGAGGTATTGGTGAAGGTGTTTTAACAACACCATCTGAAAAACTAAAAAAAGCCAAAGCGGCTGGGCTAATAACGCCATTAGAAGGAAAAACTCCAGAACAGAAAGAAAAAATACTTAGGGGTTTAGCGATGCATGGGGTTCCATTGCCAGAAGGAAAGACTCCTTCAGAGAAAAAGCTAATAGATAAGGTGCGTGCAGATGTTGGACTACCACCTGAACCAAAGACAGCATCACAGAAAGATAAATATAGTAAAGCTTTGGCTGCTGGAATTCTTACTCCGCTAGAAGGAAAGTCATCAGATCAGAAAGAAAAAATTTTGAAGGCGCAACACGATGCTGGTTTGCCTTTGCCAGAGGGACGTACACCATCAGAAAAAGCATTGATTGCCAAGGTTAAGGCCTCTCCAAGAGGTATTGGTGAAGGTGCCTTAGCAACACCATCTGAAAAACTAAAGAAGGCCAAAGCGGCTGGGTTAATAACGCCGTTAGAGGGAAAAACTCCAGAACAAAAAGAAAAAATACTTAGGGGTTTAGCGATGCATGGGGTTCCAATACCCGAAGGAAAAACACCTTCTGAAAAGAAACTAATCGATAAGGTTCGTGCAGATTTAGGTCTACCACCTGAACCAAAGACAGCATCACAGAAAGATAAATACAGTAAAGCTTTGGCTGCCGGAATTATTACACCACTAGAAGGAAAAACATCAGATCAGAAAGAAAAAATTTTAAAGGCGCAACACGATGCTGGATTACCTTTACCGGAAGGACGCACGCCGTCGGAAAAAGCATTGATTGCCAAAGTTAAGGCCTCCCCTAGAGGTATTGGTGAAGGTGCTTTAGCAACACCATCTGAAAAATTAAAAAAGGCCAAAGCGGCTGGGTTAATAACACCGTTAGAGGGAAAAACTCCAGAACAGAAAGAAAAGATACTCAAAGGTTTAGCGATGCATGGAGTTCCATTACCCGAAGGGAAAACTCCTTCAGATAAAAAAATAATAGAGAAAGTTCGTGCAGATGTTGGACTACCACCTGAACCAAAGACAGCATCACAGAAAGATAAATACAGTAAAGCTTTAGCTGCTGGAATTATTACTCCACTAGAAGGAAAGACATCAGATCAGAAAGAAAAAATCCTAAAGGCTCAACACGATGCTGGATTGCCTTTGCCAGAGGGACGTACTCCATCAGAAAAAGCATTGATTGCCAAAGTGAAGGCCTCTCCAAAAGGTATTGGTGAAGGTGCTTTAGCAACGCCTTCTGAAAAGTTAAAGAAGGCCAAGGCAGCTGGACTAATAACACCCTTAGAGGGAAAATCTCCAGAACAAAAAGAAAAAATACTGAAAGGGTTAGCGATGCATGGGGTTCCATTGCCAGAAGGAAAAACGCCTTCTGAAAAGAAACTCATCGATAAGGTTCGTGCAGATGTAGCTCTACCACCTGAACCAAAGACAGCATCACAGAAAGATAAATACAGTAAAGCTTTGGCTGCTGGAATAATTACACCACTAGAAGGAAAGACATCAGATCAGAAAGAAAAAATCTTAAAGGCGCAACACGATGCTGGATTACCTCTACCAGAAGGACGCACACCGTCGGAAAAAGCATTGATTGCCAAAGTTAAGGCCTCTCCAAGAGGTATTGGTGAAGGTGTTTTAACAACACCATCTGAAAAACTAAAGAAGGCCAAAGCGGCTGGGCTAATAACGCCGTTAGAAGGAAAAACTCCAGAACAGAAAGAAAAAATACTTAGGGGTTTAGCGATGCATGGGGTTCCATTGCCAGAAGGAAAAACACCTTCTGAAAAGAAATTAATCGATAAGGTTCGTGCAGATGTAGGTCTAACACCTGAACCAAAGACAGCATCACAGAAAGATAAATACAGTAAAGCTTTGGCTGCCGGAATTATTACACCACTAGAAGGAAAAACATCAGATCAAAAAGAAAAAATTTTGAAGGCGCAACACGACGCTGGATTACCTCTACCGGAGGGACGCACACCGTCGGAAAAAGCATTGATTGCCAAAGTTAAGGCCTCTCTAAGAGGTATTGGTGAAGGAGCTTTAACAACACCATCTGAAAAACTAAAGAAAGCCAAAGCGGCTGGGCTAATAACGCCGTTAGAAGGAAAAACTCCAGAACAGAAAGAAAAAATACTTAGGGGATTAGCGATGCATGGGGTTCCATTGCCAGAAGGAAAGACTCCTTCAGAGAAAAAGCTAATAGATAAGGTGCGTGCAGATGTTGGACTACCACCTGAACCAAAGACAGCCGCACAGAAAGATAAATATAGTAAAGCTTTGGCTGCTGGAATTATTACTCCGCTAGAAGGAAAGTCATCAGATCAGAAAGAAAAAATCTTAAAGGCTCAACACGATGCTGGATTGCCTTTGCCAGAGGGACGTACACCATCAGAAAAAGCATTAATTAGCAAAATCGAAGCTGCTGCTAAAACTCCGTCAGAAAAATTACGCAAAGCTAAAGCTATTGGACTGTTGACCCCTCTTGAGGGCAAAACTCCTGCACAGAAAGAAAAAATATTAAAAGGATTAGCACAGTCTGGTCTTCCGTTGCCAGAATCTAAAACTAAATCAGAAAAAGATTTGATAGCTAAAGTTAAAGCAGAACTAGGGCTACCCCCAGAGCCAAAAACAGCATCTATGAAAGAAAAAATGGCAAAAGCACAAGCTGCTGGTATTATTACACCACTTGAGGGCAAATCAAATGCCCAAAAAGAAAAAATTCTCAAAGGTATGAAAGAAGCTGGTATTCTTTTACCTGAAGGTCGAACTCCTTCAGAAAAAGCCCTGATTAGCAAAATTCAAGCTGAAAGGGAACCTTCAGTGACTTCAACAAAGTTAAGAAAAGCACAAGCTGAAGGTTTACTCACACCATTGGAAGGTAAATCAGCGGCTCAAAAAGAACAAATCATCAGAGGATTGGCTAAAATTGGTCTACCTTTGCCGGAAGGTAAAACAAAGTCAGAAAAATCAATTATACGAAAAGTTAAAAAGGAATTCGAGGAAGCAATCCCTGAAGCTAAAACAGCTTCAGAAAAGGAAATTTTAAAGAAAGCTAAAGCAGAAGGGCTTTTAACGCCATTAAAAGGAAAAACGCCAGAACAAAAAGAAAAAATAATAAAAGGATTAGCTGCATCTGGCTTACCAATCCCCGAAGGTACCACTCCCTCGGAAAAAGAGCTTGTAAGAAAAATAAGAAAAGAAATTGGACTTCCATCAGAAAGAACCCCATCAGAAAAAAAAGGAATCATTAAACCCAGAATTTCCAAAAAACTCGAATTCGGTGTTGCACCTCAAGCTGTAACACCTTCTGAAAAGGAGATAGTAAGAAAAGCCAAAGCTGAAGGCCTTATAACACCACTCACGGGTAAAACTCCTGAGCAAAAGGAAAAAATTATCAGAGGACTCGCTGATGCCGGACTTCCAATTCCTGAGGGAAAAACGCCTTCAGAAAAAGAACTTGTCAAGAAAATACGAACTGAATATGGGTTACCACCAGAACCAACACCTTCAGAAAAAAAGGGAAAGATAAAGTCTAAATCAAAAAGAATTGGTGCTCCAGGTGCAAGAAAAAGTGCTAGGGGTGTAGGTCCTATAGTTAAATCGAAAGCTGGAATTGTTGAGGAGTTTGAAGACATAATAAAAACCACAACTTGCGACAGGGGTTGCGGTTGCGATAAAAAGAAGATAAGATTCAAACATAGCTATGTTAAAATACGAGTTACCTCTCCTGATATATCCTCACTGTGCCCATGTCCAGAAGAATGTCTTCCAGGAGTTAAAGGAGGAGTTTTTACTGATAATGAGGGAATCAAAGTCACAGTAGGAACAGTTTTAGGTGTTCCCTCGTTTACATCGAAACCATTCAAAAAGGAGTCGTACCCAAATATTATCATAAATAATATTATGTCTATCGAATCTTTATATATAAATAGCGACCAATATTCAAGACAAGAAAAATATTCCTATCTAGATTCAGAAAACAGTGGAACTCAAGATCATAGAAAGAGATACGACACAGAAAACAGTAATGTTATTACAAACAGATCATTGTCTGACAGTATACACAACAATGAGGAATATGAAATTCAATGTCACTACAAAACCACTTTACCGGCTTTACAATCACTACATTCAACTTCGTCCATAACAACAAGATCTAGCTATGAATCTGTTTTAATAATTGAAACTGAATCTTCTCTTAGTTTATCTACACAGACATCTACAAGTGATGTTAATATAAGCATTATTTCAATCATCGGAAGTGATTTCTCTTCGAATACCAGTCATTACTTGTTATCAGAACATAATTCAAGTACTGACGGTTCAAACTTTTTAATAGAAAATTTACAAGCTGAACCGGATTCAACGGACTAGTAAGTTTTTTTTAAGCATCGAAAAAGTTTAATGGTATTTTAAAATTGTATATAACGTAATGGAATTAATATATAGATCGATATATTAATTTCATTACGTTAAAAGTCCCTGAAAAAAACACATTTCATAAAACTAACTAGGAAATCGATAGTTTACGTATTACAGGTGTAACGCACCGATTTTGTGTAGCCATTAAACCTGTCCATAGATCTTCACTCCACAAATCGTTTAATGAACAAAACACGACACGCACTCCGTAAGTCAGAATACAAGTCGCGTCAAGTCAAATGACTACCTACACACTCTGGAGTATTTTTAAGTCCAAATTATTTTTCTCATGACTTTTTATTTTCACAGATATTGTAATGATTCTTTCACGATTTCGTTTTCGTTTCAGGTTACTTGATTCATTATAAGTAACCTATATAAACGGAAATTTCTTAGTTGCATAATTTATCTTTTGATTACAGTATAACGCCCTCAAAGGAATACTTAAAAAAAATATATTGCAAAGATAGCAGCCTTGAAATATCACAATTCAAGTTAAGGTCATCACATAGTGAAATATTGCAAGAAATTAAGAATTCAGATTGTTTAAATGAGAGCGAACATTGTAGTGAAGTAAGAATTGAATTAGACAGTCACCACAATCTCAAAACTGTAACTAATAGACAAATGGATGATGTTGATTCGACTTATATTCAACTATCACAAAATATCTGCAGATGGGAAAAAAAGAAGGGCCCAAGCCAAGGTAAAACTTTTAACAAAGGTTTTTGCTCATATATTAATATTGCATACTTTCCTATTTCAATTCTTAACAATGTTTCTCTATCGCATCATATAAGCAAAAAAGGGATAATATATATTTTTATTTAGATTTAAACATCAAGCAGTTACACGCTTAAAAAATAAAAATTATAAATATCTTCTAATAAAAAAATGGCTTACTGACGATATACAACATATACCTAGTACCTATTGCCATAAATATTGTTCAAATGAAAATCAATTTTTTTCTTCTAAATCACTCATGTGTTATTTTTATGTGTGTTAGTTTATAAACTATTATAATGAAGCTCATTCAAAATGATCTCAAATGGATTTAAACATTGAAGCTAGTTATCAGTAGAAACACGCATCCTCTCCATGGGAAAATTCTTCGCTGCCAATGTTATTTTAGGGACTCCAAATTATCATGGCGTTAAGAACATGCCATTCTCTCTAAAACTGACCAAAAATCAAAATCCAACTGATTAAGATCGGGACTAGATGACGGCCAGTCAGCTCTGGTGAAATCCGAAACGTTTGTTTCCAACCATGCTTGGGTAAATCGAGCTTTCTGGCCCGGTACCGAGTCTTGCTAAAAGGACTATTCTTGGTTATGGAACAAAGTGTTGTTAAAAAGGCTTAACCACCTTCCGAAGAACTGTATCTTGATACACTTATACCGATGCTTTGACACGTTTTCCCTTGACAGCAACACCCCACCAAACCATCACTGTAGTCTAATAATATTTACGTTGTATTCTGCTGACTTTGGGAAGCTTCTTTACAGGGCAAAAACGGAACCCTATTGCTGTCACTTCGTCTGTCTGTCTCTCTGTCCGCATTTCACGGGTCTCTAGATCGTAAAATGTAATGAACTAGCAAACCCGGCGAACACCGTTTCGCCACCAGATGGCTTCGTTTTATGTAACATTTCGTTTGGTGATTAAAAGAAGTTTTTTTTTTTAATTTTTCCTGAACTTTCTTTGCTATAAACCTCACGAAGCCCGAGACCTTTTCAACGAAAGCAAAACCGTGGAAATCGGTTCGTGCGTTCTGGAGTTATAGCGTCAGGAAGGAAAACCCGACTTATTTTTATATAGTAGATTACAAACCTGTTTTTTTTTTGTAGAATGCTTGCCCAAAGCCGATTTTAAAATTCTATTCATGGGGGTCATACACGAAAAGGAGACAATTGTTTGAGAACTCGCTTCAGACCACGACTATATCCGCGTCAGTTAGTTTTATAGAATCCCTCAGCAACTTAACATTCTTCCGGGGTAAAAGTATCTTATGGCTTAATCTAGGTCATAAACTATATGTGTATAGGTACCAGCAAACTTCTTGAGTAAAACCACAGACAAACTCGCGCAGTAGATGTTTTTCTATGTAAAATTGTGCAGGCTTCCTTATCTATGGTTGATGCCCAAGAAGTTCGCCGTGGTATATTACAATTTTCTGTTCTGTTCTCAATAGGGGTGATTGAGTAAGTAACAAATACAAAAAGTTACAACATTTCAGATTTATGCTATTAGTCAGACTAGGAATTACGATTAGGATTTTAGGTTCAGGATAGCGCCTCATCTCTCCTCAGCTCATGGTAGCCCATGAGTTGCTATAGTAATATTAAGTTTTACATTTGCACCCAGATTATGCTGACCCCACCAGTAGTGGAGTTAAATTCATTAGAAGAGGCAAAAACAGTGTTTATATAGAAAGAGCAAAATCAAATAAAGTTTATAAACATGAATCACAAAGAAATGATTGTAATCAAAATCAAACAATAGAAACAGAAACAACGAAAAAAAAGGTTTATGAACATGAATCACAACGAAATGTTTGTAATCAAAAACAAACGAAAGAAACGGAAACAACGAAACTATATAAAAATAAAGGAACAGCAGCTACACTGTCGGATGAATCGAGCAGGACCATTATCGTTGAACAGACAACACAGCCGACGGAACAATTCCAAGATAAAGAGACAATAACATTAAAACCTGTAAAAGTTTTTCGAGCAGTGAGCGTCGATACCATCCGTGATAGACCGTGTTGTTGCTCCCCAAAAGAATCCGGCACTTTGTGTAAAGGGTTTAACGTTTCTGAAGATTGTCGATGCTCCACTGTACCTTCTGATTACATCTTAACTCCTGTTGGTTCAATAAAGAAAAGAAAATCGATGAAAAGCTCATACACTTATGAAAATGAAACTCAAGGTACCCATGATAAATTTTTGTTTTAAATTTTGTTAGTATTAGTTAGTAAACTTTGTTAATACGATTCTCACATAAAAGGACGTCAAACGAACTTACCTGTAAGTGACGTTCGCCGATTATTAAACGACGCGTTTCGCCCGAGACATTACACTTAATTTACTTGCAGTACCCGCATGTGCATGTGCACAAATATAGAGCAACATTAACCTTTGCCTAAAATATAAATTTAAGCAATATTAAAAAATGCGCTCGCTTTGTGGATATCTCGATTTATTCATACACGTTTGGACTTTAAAGGATCCATTGGTTCATACTATTTCGCGTCACCATGGGTACACCTTGATATCTTCATAGATTGGCTGATCAGGGACAGAGGCGTCACAGGGGCAGGGTTAATTTGGGCGAATCACAATAGAATGGTGCAATTAAAGATACAACTCCATTATTAACTGTTGGTTCAAAAAATAGAACACCATATTAACACTTGTCGTATGAAATAAATAATTACATTTTTATTTCAGAGAATTGTGTTCATTGTAAAAGAAAATATCTGGCGAGTCCCATACCAAATAATAAAGGATTATATTTGAATTTCAACTGGGAAGCTTCTGTAAAAAGTAACAGCATCCTATCAAGCGGACAACACTCTCCGGCTGGTGAGAATACGTCCGAAATGAATGATGCAATGAATTTTTGGAGACCAGTGGACGAATATCAATACGTAGAGGAAACTGATTGCAAAACCGATGTCACACCATTTACTTGCCGTGGATATAAAAGAACATACGCTTCTAGTAATTATTTTTTATCATATAACCATTCTTCTATTCACATGTTTTCATAGATAAAGATTTGATGTTTAATATCCGTGATAAATTCAATCATTAAATCTCATTTTAAAAGGACATTGGGCAGAAATGTATGGACACTGCACCCACGTCCGCCACGGCTTAAACTACATTTGTTTGACAGGTTTTATAGTCATGATCGTTTGTGCCAAAGCGCCTCAAATTCTATACCGGGGGTCTTTATTTATTTTAAGTTCAAGTACTATAACGAACGAACATTAATGAAACAAGGGAATTAATTTAGTTAGTTAGTTCGACCCTACATAGGTGGCTCCTGAGCAACCTGGTATTATGAGTGTACTTCACAAAGTGCAGGGGTGCCCCCTTTTGTTATTCTGCCGCGCTAAAGTAAATTGTCTTCTATGTAAAACAGAGCGACCACAAATCACACAAACATGTCCACGATTTGAAGAAAACATGATTCCAGTTCCATCCATACTAATTGGCAAAACCGATATCGTGTTCCAATGTCCAAAGCGTGTTAGATAAAAAATCAATCAAGTGACAGGGAGCACACAATCACAACGAAGTAAGACGACTCGACTATTTGCAATTGCAAGTCCTTCAACGCCCTTAAACTGTTCTGAGGTGTCTTTTTGAATAGTACGATATGGCATATTATTATGGTTATTAATAATATAAAATGAAGGTACTATCAAATGAATTTATTTGGCTACTTAAATATGCCCATATGTCATATCTTTTGACTACCAGGATATTTTTTACGTTGTCATGTCTTTTGTCTACCAGGATATTTTTTTACGGTGTCATCATAAAAAAGGCTAGATTTTATAGATCTATCTATTCATACTAATAACATTGTTATTAGTATGAATCGACAGATTAGGATATAGGCGGAGCTGGGTGTATTTTGCCCATTGTCCTTTATACAATTTGTTTAACCAGGAAGGCTTGAAATTTTTTTTGACCGAGTCAAGCCACAAATTAATAACTTGATTTGAAATTGAAAACACCAATACTTACTATTGAGAGTTAAATTTTGTATAAATATTTGTTATTTAATATTTTGTTTCTTTTAGATAATTACGATGAAGAGTTTCCTAATTTAAGTACTAGAAATTTCGGTAACGAAAGGGGCCAACACTTACCTCGCAAGGAAAAAAGTGTGAAAGGTAGTGATGAAATAAATAATGAAACCGCGACTTTTGAGGAAAATGTAAAGAACTTTGATAGACACACAATTGATAAACATCGATTAAATAGAAAACTCCATGGTGGTGTATGTCCGTGCTCTATAGATACTTGTCAGAATTGTAGTAAAAGGTGTTGCCACTGTTGTTTACATACGTCGAAACACAAAACACAATGTTATCACACAACAACCGGAAAATATCGAGGAAGACATGAATTAGTAATGGAAATGAAATCGACACAAACAAACGGATTCAAATACAAATTTAAAAGGAAACCCCCCACTTCAGATAACATTGAGCTTCTAACCTTTGAAGACGCTTTAAAATACTTTCGAGAGCATCCTGAAGAAATACCTGTACCGATTCAAGAAGAAGGCCCGCGTGAAGATGCTGAAACACAATATTATGAACATTCAAGCAAAAAAGTATAAATGCTTTCCAATTGAAGAAAATGACCGGTTTTTAATTGTTGTTACTACTCATCCTAAATGAGACTGGATAAATAAAATGACAAAAGTAAATGGTTTTAAGGTATTAAAATTACCTCAAACAAATGTATACAAATTTATTAGAAATTTGCACAGATAGTTACAATACAAGAACAATATTCACCTCTATCGTTTGCTTGCGTTATCCATTCTTTTGTTGGTACATACATATGTTGTACTGAAACTTGTGTAAGTATTGTGAATATTAGTCCTCTTTTAAAATTAATTTTGTATGAGTGCTTTTTTAAGAAAATCGAACTTAACATCAAATATATTTAAATAAATTATATTAAAATGAACGATCAAATACATTTTTTTTCATAACTTGTTTGTATTAATTTACTTTAAAAATAAAATATAGCTTTTAAATTGCTAAGCGTAAAATTTGTATTCCAAAAAAATGCTAAATACCTAAAATATGACACTGTAAATCAAAAATCTATATACCTAGTCAGGTCATAAATTCTGTCACATGTTTAATATAAAATAATTGAAACAAGTTTATTCATTATGTTGTAACGTTGTTACATATTTATTTTATTAAAACTTATAATATTCTACCTAAAAATTAAATTACGCTTAATATTATTAACTTAAATTGTACATTATTTACACGAATCAGTTTTTTTGAATACCTATTGTTTATAAACACAAAATTCATTTAACATCGGGCAATGAAATTTCGCAACTTGGTACAGGCGTTTTGTCCCAAACTTTAGTACAGTGGCTGGGCCCTTAAATAAATTGACCTCAACTAGGAAAGGCGCCGCTCCTTTCAAGTGGACACCTGAAGCAGCCTCCGCGTTTGTAAAACTGAAGGAGTGTTTAGTCTCTGCCCCAGTTTTGTCCTGTCCAGATTATACTAAGCCATTCGAAGTACACACCGATGCTAGTAGTTACGGTATTGGCGCTATGCTTACCCAAACGATCGATGGCAAGGAACATCCTATTGCGTACATGAGCAAGTCGTTTACTGCATCTGAGAAAAACTACGGCATTACTGAACGCGAAGCCTTAGCCGTTATAACTGCACTTGAATATTGGCGTTGTTATATTGAAAACGGTCAGCCATTCACAGTTTATACCGACCATAGCGCGCTAAAATGGTTTCTCTCTCTTAGTAATCCGACCGGTCGGTTAGCTCGTTGGGGAGTACGTTTGTCGGCATTTAACTTTGTCATCAAACATCGTCGAGGTTCCGACAATGTGATTCCTGACGCCCTTTCCAGAATCCCATGTAACGCCATCTCAACTGCTAACTCTTATTTGGACTCTAAAGACGCTTGGTACAAAAATTTATATTTCGGTTGTTTAAATGATCCTGCAAATTTTCCAAATTTTATTATTAAAAATGATACATTATTCCGTTTATCTAAAAACAAACACGAGTTAACTTCTGAATTCTCATGGAAAGAAGTAGTTTGTTCTGAATTCCGTGAGAATATTATTAAAGAAAACCATAGTGAGCCTACCGCTGCTCATTTGGGCATATTCAAAACATACAAACGTCTTGCCTTACGTTATTATTGGCCTGGCATGTATAATGATGTAGTTAAATATATAGATTCTTGTGACAAGTGTCTTTCATATAAATCACAAAATCATCAACTATTAGGAGAAATGGGTCGTCCTAAAAGTTGTTCACGTCCTTTTCAAACTATTTCCATAGACCTTATGGGGCCTCTCCCCACTACAAAACTTCGTAATAGTTATATTTTCGTCGTTACTTGCTGTTTTTCGAAATATTGCTTGATATTTCCTATTAAAAAAGCGACTTCTGATGTAATTACAAAAATCCTTGAGGAATCTGTGTTTCTCGTACATGGTGTTCCACAAACCATTTTAATGGATAACGGCACCCAATTTACAAGCAAGCTCATGGATAGTCTCTGTAATAAATATCATATACCTAACGTGCATTATACACCTAAGTATACCCCACAAGTTAACCTAGTGGAAAGATATAATAGAACAATAATTACTTGTATATCTATGTATGTAGACGACGATCATAGGTCTTGGGACTTGTTTATTCCTGAAGTCCAATTCGCTATAAATAACTCCGTAAACGAAGCGACAGGGTATACACCCTCATTTTTAGTTTTTGGTAGGGAGCTAGTCGTTTGTGGCTCACATTACGTTGACAATGACCTCGGTAATGATTTATCAATTTTACCACGTGATGCTTATGCCGAAAATCTAGGTCGTCTATCTAGTGTTTTCGATAAAGTGCAAAAACGGTTGTGGCAAGCCCATGTGAAGAATACTTCTCATTATAATTTGAGAAGGAAATTTGCCGAGTTCAACGTTGGTGACATAGTCATGAAGCGTGCTTACTTTTTAAGCGACAAAGATAACTGTTTTTCAAAGAAATTGGCTCCGAAGTTTATTAAAGCTAAAATAGTAATTTTAAAGTCACCATTGGTATATGTATTGCAGGATATGACTGGAAAAGATCTAGGCACCTGGCACATTAAAGACTTGAAGTTGGTTGGTGTCAATAAGTAGTTTTTTTTCTTTTTATATATTTTTGTTTGGTTTATTATGTACAACAGTAGCTTTATATCTCGCGTCGCGCACTTAACTAACTTATTGGATATAAGTATTTGCCAAGTTTCTAGTTCATTAAACTAGATGTCTTCAGGATTGCTTGTAGGAGTCGGTAACATCCTTTGTATGGTACCTACTTTGTTTTAATAGTTAGAAGAATGATGATAGAAGAATGATAGAAGTATGAAAGATGATTTATGTTTAGGTTAAGCAACTACATTCACATTTTCCAAAACGGATTTTATTTCTCTATAAACAATAAAATCCTTCACTGCGCGCGGGGGTATTGTAACGTGGTTACATATTTATTTTATTAAAACTTATAATATTCTACCTAAAAATTAAATTACGCTTAATATTATTAACTTAAATTGTACATTATTTACACGAATCAGTTTTTTTGAATACCTATTGTTTATAAACACAAAATTCATTTAACATCGGGCAATGAAATTTCGCTGCACGCGCGCTTCCAAGTTTGGCGACTCGTTTGTTGAGTTCCTCCCCCCCCGACCTGCACCGCGCGCTGGTTGCGGCGCGGCCGGCCATCTCACACTCCGAAATTGAACTCCAAGCAGACACGCGCTCGTTCTGTGCTCCCAGCGACCTTGCGGACAACGCGCGATCTTTATATTTTTTTATTTTTTCTTAATAATTGTTTAAGATAATTAATCATTACACTCAGTGCATTAACCCACGTATTGGTAAGTGTTGAACAAGTATTCCTTCAATTAGCGTCCGATTATAAAGTGGAAAATCTTAAATTTTTAAAATAGTAACCGTCGTTTTGAATTTTTTATCTTTATTTATAATGCTTTTGCAAGTTATATTAGTTATATTCCTATTGTTTTTTAAGCTTACTAAGCTGTGCTTTAGCTAGTTTAATTGTTTTATTTCTCCGATTGTAACTCCGATCTGATTGTGGCAATTATAACAAAACACACATACGTTCCGGGTACTTTTCTACTCCAGTTCTTGCCATGGCCACAATCAGAGGAGACAACGGAGTTTGGTTATTAATGCGACCATATTACAGGGTCCATGGTGTGGCGTCCACCGTACACCATCGTGTGACAACGACCAGCAATCCATCCCGTCACGGTCACCCCATCGCCTGGCGACGACTTCCGACTTCTTTTCGGGACTTCACTGTCGACCAGTACGACCACCGCTTCGTGACCATCTCCATCTTCTCTGGGCCCGGACTTCTCTTCGGCGGAACTACCAGGAGAGTACCAACCCTGGCCGGGAAAGCAAAGAACTTTCAAATACTGTAACGGTTTTTTTTTTACCCGGGCACTTCGAACCACGCCCAAATAAATTTGTTGTTCACACCAAGAGTTGGTTTCATTTAAACGCCCTGGCCCGTGACAATGTAACCATTTATATACCAAAATGAACTTAACAAAACATAGATTCTTATGACAATAAAGTTTATTCAAAATGACCTCCGTGATTTTGAATACAGCCTTCAATCTGCGCGGCCAGTCGTCTATCGCAGCACGAACGAGGTCAATGTCAATATCGGCGGCTGCCTTAATCAAGGATGTCTTGAGTGACTCCAAATTGGGATGAGGCTTTGAGCACGCCTTTTCCTCCAAGTGTTGCCATATCTTGTAATCTAAAGGACTCAAATCTGGACTGGAGGAGGGCCAGTCTTCGTGCCGGATGAAGTTGATTTCACGCGCCGCCAGCCAGTCTTGTGTGCTCTTCGCTCTATGAGCTGGCGCCGAATCTTGTTGGAATACCCAGTGCCTGTTATTGAACATGGTATGAGAAACAGGTTCCACAAGGTTCGTCAGGACTGTTTTTTCATACACAACTGCATTCGTTTTTACACCTTTCTCACAAAAATATACCTCTGTTAAGCCCCAATAAGAAACTCCCAACCATACCATGAGCGAGGATGGAAAATGACCTCGTTGGACACGCGGAATACAGTTACTCGCTTCTTCACTACTGTGTGCGTACACCTTATCATTTTATTTTTGATAGCTCTCTTCTACGGTAAAAAAAAAATTATCCGAAAAAAGAATTTCCCGAAATTTTTTCCCGCGTACCGCTACAACAAAGAGCTTCATCTCTTCAGTATCAGGTCCATTAGACGAGCATTCAAACCATGTCCTGTTTTTCTTCGATATACCCGAAGCCCTAAGTCTTCATTTAACACCCTTTTCACCGTGGTTCTGCTTAACCCCATCTGAAGGGCCAACAGTTTCTGATTACGTTTGGGATTTCTTTGAATTCGCGCCTTCACAGCTTTTATCACTGCTGGAGTCCTAACAGACCAAGGGCGACCACTTCTTGACCTGTCATCTACACTAGAGTCTTCATTGTATCGTTTAATGGTACGATAAACGAATCTTTTGGTTATAACCAAAAGAAAAAAAAAACAGTATGGCAAAAATTTTAATTGGCGCGTAACCGCAACGATGCAACGCAATAACTGCAACACTCCATATTTAAAAATGGGTAAAATTCTAAAAAATATACATTTTTATTTTCATGAACAATTCGAAATACGAATTCAATAAACTTTTTTGTGGCCAGCATTCTGAAAGAAAGTTTCTACTGTGTGACAATACTTATGACCCGACTGTGTATATATGTTATGGGCTAAGTGATTAATCGGGCATTATTCATGGAGCCCGGACAATATGAATAATGACCAATAAGAGCGGGCAATGTGGTTATAACCAATCAATTTATCACATTGCCCGGGCATTATGAATAATGCCCAGTGCCTATTGGGCAG